ATTCCATCGGGGCCCATGGATTTGTGGGCGTTCAGATCGCTTAAGCGATCCCTCATGCAGTCAACACAACTAGTCTGGGAAATTCATTGACACAATAAAAACATTGAAAAAACGTACTCTCTTTCCCAAACCTACCCTTCCAGAAGCAGCCTTAAAAGACAAGGAAGTAACTGAGCTTTGTTCTTTTTTAAGTTTTTCTTTTGTGAAACACTTCACAAAGGCAGAGCTCAACCATTTTCACAGACAATGAAAACGGACGCTGCACGATGGGCTCGCACAGAGCGCCGGTGCAGTGCCCTCTCCGGCGGCCCACAGCGACAGGGGAGCTCAGCGCCATTCACTGCACGGTACTGGGGGCTGGACGGGGTGGCTGGGCGATGAGCACCACCTGCCCTGCAGTTTGGGTTCAGCGCCTGTTGAAAAAATAGGCTGTCCCAGCTGCAGCGCCTTATCAGGTAACAAAAACAGAAGTGCTGGGGCATCACTTGTTTCAAAAGAAAAATAAATCTCACAATTTTAATGGTACTAATTTTGCATATGAAACTTGCATTCATACTGTATTAACAGTTTAAATATAGCTTTCTTGCCAGATGCCTGAATGTGCTAGAAAAGATACTTAAAATATGCAAATTAGGTTTCTGTTTTAATACACAAAGAAACTTAAAATCACATCACTTTCCATCACCAAGACAGGTTTCAATCTAAGCTTTTTTCATGTGAAAACTATAACAGCAAACAAATGGTTAACCAAATGTGTTTAACCCACTGTCTGTAGTCTCAATTTTAGTCAACTGTGACATGGCCCATTACACTTCCCAGGACACCAGTGACTTAAATGAAGACTACATATTTGGCTTAACATTAAAAGATTATATATATAAATTACAGTAAAAAAAAGCTTCTCAGACTGGAGCGGGTGCTTAGTTCAGCATCCATAGCATTGGAGGGCAGGATTCCTGAGTTTTATTCTCAGCAATATTCTTAACCAGTGTGATCCTGCACCCTGCTGTTATAAATGGTGTTCATAATGCTTGGCTGTCTCAAGAGAGTTTGAGAGTCTCAATGAACTCTTGATTACAAAATGCTTTGAGATCCTTGAATGAAAGATGCTGAATGAGTACAAATTATGATTTTTGTAGCCAAAGTTGTGCCTCCGTCTACTCACATGTGCCTACGTTTTAAGACATCTTCAAAACAAACACTGGTCTCCCAACATGCCCCTCAGCAGTCTTGTTGTATAAATAAAAGTGATGAGAATAATATTAGCAAAAACAATAGTGTGGCAAAAGCAAATTACAGTCCCGCTGGACTCAGAAATTTCTTCCTTATCTCAGGAGAGGAAGATTTCTCCATTTTACTCTTGTTCTGATCCCAGAATCACCTTTTCTCTTTTCCTCGTACGTGACTGGTTTCTCTCTAAGAGCTTTGCTGTTTTTCTTTTAGCTTTGCACAGGCCGCGTTTCTTGCAGTGCTTACTGAAGGGTCCAAACCCCTTTTAACAAAATGAGTACAAGTTCCTTTGGAAGACAGATGGGGAGCTCTGGACAACTCAGAGCGTGTAAGCACTGAGTATGATCCTTCATTTGCCTTTCTGCCTCTCAGGTGACTGAGTCAGGGGAAAGGAGGCATAAACAGACAGTCCGGACATCTGGATTCTGCCCAGGCCATCTATTGTGCTCGCCCCTCAGCTGAGGTGTGCTTCAAGGATGAAAAAAGAATTTGCAAATAATAATGAGAATATTGCTGTTCTTCAAATCAGCTCTCCCTCTGAGAGGGAGAGCTGATTTGCTTGCACCTGAAGGACTTGTAGTGCAAGACTATCGAGAAGAGTATTAAAAGAGTACTGACACAGCTCAAGACAATATGTAAGGAGTAAAGATCAGAATTCATCCTCTAATTTCTGCCTCAATTAGAGCATCTCTATATTTTATACTACCTATGTGGATAGTTCTGCTGCTGAATGGTTTATACACCTTTAAGAGACTGAAGTTTTATTGCATTTAAAACAATTAATTCTCCTCATGAAGAGCCTTCTGCAGGTATCTCTAGGTCACCTGAATCCCAGCTCAGCCACCTATGGCTCAACACCATGTCAAGTACCATTTGCAAAGATGTGTTATTTAATTCATGAGGAGCAATAGCCCAGACCATCAGTGTTAAGGCTCACAGCAGATCACATGTACCACTTCTACCAGCAAGCCCTGGCCTCTGTTCTCTCCAGCCCAAGCTAGGCAATGGCCTCTTCACAAAATTACCAGACTGGAGTTAATCATAACGACTGGTAATTAAAAACTTCAAGATCCCTCTCACCTTTTCTGAAATGGAGGTGTCCACCAAAAGTGGGCAGTTGGCTTGTAGACCTAATGCTACTTGCCCGCATTAGAGTCTGAGAAATAGTGTGGCAGTAAGCTCGAGGTGCAGCTCGCACCACAAGTCATTAGCTGTACTTGCAGGTGCTACTGTGACGCTGAGTACTGTCAGGCAGAGGAAAGGACACACTGGCAGTAAGGAAAAAGGTGGTGAAATTAAACAGTGCCATCAGGAGCAGAGGGAGTAATACACAAGAAAAGAAGAGGAGAGAGTGAAAGGCTGCAGCCCCCAGTGAATGTCATCTTGATAGCCTAAGCACTGCTGCTTTAGAAGAGACTTGTACATGTTTCACTATCAATTACCCCAGGATATTCAGAAATAATATTTTCAGAACAAAGCAGTGCCAAATTCTATACTGCACTTAGGGGAAAAAGGCCAGGGCAAATGCCTGTCATCTAGATTATCATTTATTTCACCCAATGTACTTATGAAAATGATCTCTCATTTGGCTCACAGCAGTAGAAATTTCTCAACAAAGTAATAATTCTCCTGTATTACAGTCCAGGGCAGTTAAGTATTACTCTGATAAAAGCTCGAAGTTTCCCTTCAGCACTGTTCCTGCTCAGGAATTTCCCACAATCAGAGGGAGATGGGAGCCGAGAAAAGGGCAGAAAGAGATGAGGAACGATTTTCCCTTGGAGGGAACAACAGGCCATCCCACCTGGTGGCCAGATCGTGGCAGGGAGGCAAAGGAGCAGAGGTTATGGGATATCAAAAAATGCTGCAGGAAGTTTCACCACATTCATTCTATATTCACAGGGTCTCAACCTTCTCCTTGCAACCTGCTGGCACAGGAGCGAAGATCTGAGCTGGCCATGCTACTCACAGCTGCTGTGGGTGCTACTCATCCCGCTTGTGGGGAGGGTAGGAGATGGCCCATGGAGGAGAAGAGCCACAGGAGCAGAGAGCTCAAGGTCAGAGCTGGAACGAGAGCTCTGGCAACATGGGGAAAGAGCAGATTAGCCTGTTCCAACAGAAATATAACAATTTAAAAAGGCAGAACTACAAAGGCAAGAGAGAAGTGCTGGCAGCAAGAGGTAGAGGGGAAGACCAGTCAGCAGGCAGTGTTCAGTTGGGGGTTTGAGACAGACGCCAGCACCAGAGGAGAAAACCGGGACAAGGCAGAGAGGAAGGAGGAGAAAGTGCAACCTGGCTAGGAGCTTCCAGAGCTGGCAAGAGCCCAAGGAGAGAGGGCTGTGTGCACCCACTACAGGAAGGAGAGTGGCTTAGAGAAGACTAATAAGCGAAGGGGCTGGATGAAATGGAAGGATGGATTAACATCATTCTCAGAGCAGGCAACAAGCAGGAAAGCAAGAGCAAGTGACAGGTATCAGCATCAGCTGATTTTAGTCAGTCAGCTCCCTTGTCCAAGAACTATGCAATATGAACCAAAACCAACCAGTTTCAGACTATGGGATTGGTCAGATGCTTCCAGACACATGTGTGTGTGTGATTTTGCTGGGGGATCAGGAAGGGTGGGCACCCACAGCAGAGCACTACACCCTCAGTCTCACTTGATACCCGCATGGAAGTATTACATGGGCTTCAAATGTCACATGCTTCCCCCCTCCACTTCCCCTGCTGCATCTAGTGCATGATCCCACATCCATCACAGGCACCCTTTCCAGCCAAATGGAAAACGACTTTGTGGTCACGATACTCCAGATGGTAAGTGCATAGGTGCTTGTGCTGTGCGGACTGTGCTGTGTACTGCACAAGTACTTTTGGTCTCCAAGCCAGCTCAGGTTAGGAATAAAGAGCAAGAATAAGAAATGCCCTGCTTGGCGCTGGAGCCAGAAAGGGATGTGGGGCTCCCTGGATTCAGAGCCTTTCTACTGCTTTCCCTTGTCCTCTGCTTTCCTATCAGCCTCTTAAAAAGCCCCGAGATCTTGGCAGCCAAACTTGACTGTGCACTAAGGAAAGGAATCTGAATTTCCCCAGCTGCAGCCTCTAAGGCTGCTGCCAGCCTGAGGGCATAGCCACTGCACTGACATACAGACCTAATGATCTGCGCTGTTCAAGGCATCAAATGCTTGAAGAAACTTGCCTTGCTCAGAAGGCCACACTCGAGCTGTATTTCCGTGCTGTCTTCTGTGTAAGGCTGGGACTGACTTTGAGGAGGTCAGGAAGAGCCTGATGGCTCAATAAATAAGAGACACGTGGGAGAGTTAGCAGAACTGACAGCTCAACAAGATCCATGTTTAGCTGTCAAAACATTCCTCCATGTACTGAGATGCAGCTAAGAAGGCTATCCACATACCTCCTGGGCTAGAGAGGAACTTATCTCGCTAACTGGTCAAGCAGTACTTCATGGAGAATGGAGCGAACCGAAAGAGGCAGTGGCATGTGCAATTAAAGCTGAGGAGCCCGAGGGTTGTGGCAGGTCATAATGTTGCGCCTGGACCACTGTGATGTATTAAAAAGATCACTTTGTCCGTGAAACTTTTTCATGTCCTGTCCAACCACAACAACAGCAGCAGCCCCCTTCTGTTTTTTAATGATTAAGCAGCTCGCGGGTTGACTGAGCAAAGGCTGAAGGGGAAAAACAAAGAGATATATATATAATTCTGCTTGCAGATCTTACTTGAACAGGATGGGCTAGACATTCAGATGGTGCAAATCAGAGTCACTCCAGGGAACTCGCTGATTTACACAGCAGCGGTGGATCTAGCTCAGAGTGCCAAAGTGAGAAATATACTCAGGTGTACACTGGCTGGTCGAGAGGCACTATTTGAGTCAACAAAGCTGTCCAAGCCCAGCCCAGACTAACTGCAGCCCTTTGAGCCATCACCTGCATTTGTCTTTCACGGGAACATCTGACACAGGGAGAAAACCAGCTCCCAGGCTGCCAAACCTAGAGCGAACACTGCAAAGACCCCACCCTCTGGGAATATGGGTGATTGAAACCTGCTTCCTTGCAGGTGACACTCTAGGGCTTACTTCAAGCCCCCGCCCCCAGCCACAGGGCCCCTCTCAGTCTGGCTTTCATGGACTCCTGCTACCACCTCTCGGCTCAGAATAACCTTTTTTTCAAGGCCTCCTCTCTCCTTGCTCCTTCTGGGGAGCCACCACTCTCTTGGAGGGGACCTCAGAGCAATTATGGCTCCTTCACCTCCCTTCTCACCCACCCTTCTTCCCAAGAGCCAAGCAAATTTCAAAAGTATATCTAGAAAAAAGTTGCGAATGTCACTTTGCAGACTCCTTTCTCTTCTTTCCCTCAAAACTATGTATTCTGCTCTCCATACTCCCTTCCTGCCCCTCTTCATTAATTTTACATTATTAAATGAGGGTCTCAGGCCCCCTCCCTGTATAGGAGACGCATCTGAAAATCACTTACACACTTTAGAGGGTTTGCAATGCAGAGGAGGAGAAACAGTGAGGCCAGCAAAGTGCTGGAAGAGATTGTCTGTGATTTCCATCACTGAGGCTTTTCAGAGTAGGAACAAACAAATATTTGTGAAGAATGGCTTAGGCAGAGTTGATCTTGTCTCTGAGCAGCAGACAGATCTTCAAGTCTGTTCCAGCCTTCTTGTTTATGCTTCTGCGACTGTGATAGCAGTTGTGACATGTTCTGCAACAGTTAAGCAAAGCCAGCTGAAGGCCCTACGGATCATCTTCAGGGCTGAAGCTGCTTAGAGGAAATGCAGCTCATGTGCAGTATTAAGTTACTTTATGGTTTTCTTCCCGACACTAAACCAAAGAAACTTCGTCGAGAAATGGTATGACAAAGATGCCAGCTCCCAAACAGGCATAGTGACTGCCCTTCTTTTACCATCTCCAAGACACTGTACCTCCAGCTTAGACTTCAGGTGCATGAGGCAGCTCACATTCAGAGCACCCACTGTATGGGCTGTAAATATTTGTGTTAGGTAAACAGAGGGCTTCTTTTGTTCCGGTCCACTGGAATGCCCATCCAGCACACATTAAAACCTCCCAGAGCTAGACAGAATGCAGACGTCTGTCCAGGAGCAGGGAAATGGCAGGCAAGTAAGCACTCAGAAAACCAGTACAGACGCCCCAGACAGCAAAACGCTCCACGTGTCTGTTGTGCAAAGACCCACGTGGGTCTGCAGTGGATGGAAAGAAAGAAGTTACTCCAGAAACACCCATGCAAGCCTACCCTGCAATATCACCTTCTGGGGAAAACAAATGGTAGGGGAGCTATCTAATCTACTCATCGCAAAGTCTTTAAGGCACAAGATGGTATTTACTAGCTGGTACCAGACAACACTCAAGCAAGAACAGAAAGTCACTTTCCCAGCCCTCCTTGTGAATTGCTCCCATCTGTGCAAGAGAGCAATCCAAAGTCCTTATGGCCATGACAGCACTGCAATCACACGCCTCGGTTTTTAAACCCAAAATAGTGTGAGGCAGACCACGGCGAGGCTAGCACATCACATGCAGCTGCGCTGATAAAGAGGAGAGACATTGCAAGCGGCTCTCCGGGGCACAGGTTGCTAGGGAACGTCGTGAAGCCGCTGCAGATTTCACTGCCACTTGCTGGCTCTTTCCCCCTCTTCCCACCTTGTTTGCGCTGTGCCAGCTTCTTCGCCCCGAGAGTGCCGTTCTTCCTGTCTGAAGTGTGCAAAAACAAATCTGCCAGCAACAATGGAGCACGATTGCTTGGCACGTGTTGCCAACAAAAGAATTCTCTCTAGCCTTTGATTTTCAAAGGCAGCCAGCTGATGGGTTGGCAAAAAAAACACTCTTGCTATTTTCTCCATGTCTGCGTGTTATTTCATTCAACCTGTTCCATGATCAAGGGTGGGTGGCAAGCCCAGGTGGTGCAACTCAATGGGTTCACTTCATGGGAGCTATGCTGGCTTGCAGCTGGGAAGACATAGTGCCCTGAACACCACGCTGTGCCCTCTGGACCCCTCCTCTTACCCGAACATGCTGCTCTTTTGGAGGCTGTTGAAGGAGCCAGCACAGCGCTGTGAACACGGCTGGGCCACTGCACGGTGCTCCCACTGCTCAGTGGGCAGCAGGGCTTACGAGAAAGCGCACACATGCAAGGGGAGGGACGCTGGAGAACTAGGCAGGAAGGAAAAGGAAACTTATGCCTTCTCAAGAAAGAGCTGGGGTGAGGAGAGACCAGTGACCAAGGTGGAAACAAAAGGCTTTCCAGTGTTAATCAATCTTTAAACAATTTGACTGAATGATTAGGAAATGCAGTGCTCCCTACTGAGGCATTAGAGATTTATATTTAGATGTTGGGTGTTTTTATCCAACCTGCATTATTTTTAGCTACTAGTTGATGCTAGGCTGGTGGTGGCTGCTGTCGGATCAATGAGGCCCTCCCGTGATGGCAGCTGGGTGAGAGATGGCAGTCGGAAGTGGAATCTTGTTCACCCCGGGGATGCTGCCCATTGCTGGAGCCCTTGGAGACAGCGCGAGAGCAGAACAGTGGCTGGTTCCCCAGATCTGTGCTCACATATCAAGGCTGCAGGCCTGGTCAAATATCCTTCAGTATCAACAGGGACTTAATTAAACTCTAAAAGCAGCAGAGAGGAGACACCTAACAAGCCTGTGTAACTCTAAGAAATAACAAGAGAGAACAGATTTGGAAGTGACTTTGAGAGATCGTTTCATAAGCCTCCTTATCCCAGGAAGGAGGAAAATAAAGTATATATGTGAAGACCCATCAGACACGTTAATTCTGGAGACTGAGGAAGAGGCATTTCATTTTCCTAACAATAGCACAGCACAAATCTTGGGTGTCCACAATGCTTGTACTTACAACACCCTCCGGACAAGGGGAAGCTCATGTAATCCCCAGAGCAGACCAGATCTGCAGTTTCTGCCCGCTGCAGTGTCCTGTCTTCAAGAGGGACCATTACCTGATGATGAAGTGGTAAAAAGTACAAGAAGCATAAAACAATAAAATACTAAATAGTGTGTCAAAAGAGTAATTCCTCCTTGACTCCAGGTAATTTGTAATTAGACTGCTTTGAGACAGAAGGATTTATGCTGCTTCTCAAAAACAGAGACTCTTACGCAGCGTGACAGCATGCTTTCTTATCTCATGACCAGCCAGGGAAGGACGGTCAAGGTCTCATCTTGAACTTCACTCAGCAGCACAGCAGTGGCACACCAATATGCAAATACCCTCCACAGCTTCGTGGCACGCATCACGTTGTTAACCTCTACACAAACAAGGATCATTCTCATTTTATGAGGGAATACAATAATTTGAATGCAAGTGTATGCCAGTACATCAACATTCCTATAGAGAACTTGCTCTGCACCACCGCATCATGCTCCAGTGACTCTGTGGCATGACCTTAAAAATCAGAAATAGTGCCAGCATCTCCTAGAGCAATTGTGTGAACACCACTAGCCCACCTTCACCTCCCCTTTAATCTACATTTCACAAATTATATTCATCTGCAGAGACATGCTCGGTTGATACACACCAGGCAGACTTTATTCCTCAGTTCGAACCATATGGTTCTAATAATAGTGGCTAATAAAGGAAGAGTATGTTTTCACCTGTAATTTTTCAAATCCCATCAAAATGTGGTGCAACACAGACCACTGCAGACTGCAGCACAGCACATGTGCTAAGCCACATTTTGCACTGCTCTGCACTTGCTTTGCTAATGGCCCTTAATTAATATGCACAACCATCTCAGCATCAAGGACAAAGAGAAAGTGGTACAACTATGTGTTTGCAGAAATGGAACCTTAAATTAAAACAAACAAAGCAATTGCAAGTTTATTAAAAGTGCGTTTTGGGATCAGAGCCCTGTAGCAGACTTTGGAAATAACCAGGAACAGAGGACATCAAGTTATCTAATGGGTTTTTGGCAATCATTTTACTTCAGAAATAAATTTTTTGGTAGTACAGAGATAAATGCTCAAGGCCAACCTTGACATCTTGGTCTTGGCATGCCTCAGTAACCTCTGCAGTTAAAATCATTCATTGGGCACTTCCAGGAAAGATAGCCAGTAGATTTCTCACAGAGAAAAATCTGCAAGTAGCAACCATAGCTAACTCAATAAAGCTTAATGGAAAGGAAGCAAGGGCTACGGCCGGTATTAACACCCTGGTCTAGAGCTAGGGGATTTCCATCTAATTTATCGTGGAAAAAAGCATCATTCACAAAGTCATTCACAGAGTATATTCTGCAACACAGCGTTTAATACAATAGCCTGGCATCATCTGACTCCAGATGAAAGAGTAAGAGGATATATTTATACTGCACCTGACTCCAGCCTCCAAGAATGCACCTCAAGGCAGCAGCAATGTGGTCTTTTACCCAACAGTGTCCTTAGCCTGCCACAACTACTGTGCTCATCTGCCACAAAAGCATCGGTGTACACAGCCAGGCTTGCTGGGGAGACACTGGAGTCTGGTTAGCAACCCAGAAAGCTTTGTTCCACTGCTGAGGCACTCACTGACTCCCAGGTGCCTCCCACAACTCAGAATGAGCCTGAGGGCCAAGCAAAATCTTCCAGGTGACTTTTTGCTTATGGAAGAGGAACCCAACAACCCATCGAGAGGCTGAGCTGGCAGCCGCACAATGAGCTGCAGCAGATGGGTGCCCTTGGAGATCCCAGCAATATGCACATTGCCAGAGAGGATGCGCAGACTCAAGTTTAATGGCTCACCTCTGGGCTGAGCTACAACCATGTTCTCA